TGGGGGCTTCTTGGGAAAGGTCCCCCCGAACTCAGGCTGTGGGGATTTCGGGGGGTGCATGCCGAACTCAGGCTGTGGGGGCTTCTTGGGAAGGATCCCCCCAAACTCAGGCTGCGGGGGCTTCTTGGGAAGGGTCCCCCCGAACTCAGGTTGTGGGGGTTTCTGGGGGTGCATGCTGAACTCAGTCTGTGGGGGCTTCTTGGGAAGGGTCCCCTCAAACTCAGACTGTGGGGGTTTCTTGGGAAGGGTCCCCTTGAACTCAGGTTGGAGAGGCTTCTTAAGAGGGGTTCCCCCGAGCTCAGGCTGCAGGGGTTTCACTGTGGCTTCGCTGCCCTCAGGTGGCCAGAGCTTCCTGGGGAACCCCCCAAACTTGGGTTCTGAGGGTGGCATGGGGGAGGAGCTGGCCTCGGGCTGCAGGGCCTTCCCGGGCTGCTCGCCTGGCTCAGGCGGCGGGAACTTCTTGGACAGTTTGTGGGTCTCGGGCTTCAAAGCTTTCTTGGGGAACTCGCTGGGCTCTGCCTGGGAGATCCGGAACTTGGCTTGGAGGCTCCGGAAATCCTGGTGGCCGTCCTGTAGGGCATACAGCCAGTCAGGGGCGGGCGGGGGGTGGTGGTGGTGGGGGGGTAGGGGGGGGCCTCGTGCCCGAGGGCTGTGGACACACAGACACTGTCCCAAGAACACCCACCACCATGACCACTACCCACCCCCACCCATTCCCCAGCCCCAGCTCCTGTCCATTGTCACAGATGCACAGGAGGGACATGTTTGCAGCAAGTGTAGGCACCCAGCTCATGTCACAAGACAGCAGCCAGGTGGTGGTCGGACACCAGCACCCTCCCCTGGTCCCACATGCCTCTACGGTCCAGCGGCGATGACAGCAGGCACCCTTCTAGCCAGAGTCTCTGTAACGCTCACCAAATGACAAGGGTGGGGCCATGCAAATGAGACCTATGGAATTCTACCATGGGGCTCTCTTGGCTGGTTCTGTCAACTGCTGGGTTTAAAATGAGCCCCCTCAAAGCGGGAACGGGGGATCTTGCTACCATCCAAGAGAGAAAAGCAAGGCGCGATGCGTGTCTTTTGGTCCCTGGAGGTCCCCTCCGTGATCCAGGCAGGGGGCAAGAGGCGGGACACCAGAGGCAGTGGCAGCAGCACCATCAAGCGCACCCCACAGAGTGGGTGGCAGGCTTCGCAAGAGGGAGGCTGACTTGGTGGGAGGCTGCCTGTGCAGCAGGGTGCCTCCAGGCACTTCACTGGGGGAGCTAGGCTTGCTGACCCACCCGGAGCTCAAGTCCAGAGTGCCTTCTGGCTGAGGCTTGTGGTGGAAACTGGCGCCCTTTGGGCACTTCTCGGCAGTGTGACATGAGCCATGTAATATTGCCCGAGCAGAGCAGAGGCCAAGCACCAGAGAGAGGCCTGCCTGCGGGCCTGAGTGAGAAGAGGTTGTGCTGGCGATATCCTGAGCATTCCTGGTGTGGAATTGTCACCTGGTAACTTTCCGACTACAGCTTCATCATTGTGAGTCCTGCCTGAGTGGCCACTGCGGTGAATTGGCAAACCCAGCAGAGAGTGCCATGGGAGGGTCGGCCGGTGTCAGAAGTGGCCAGGAAGACAGGGGTGGTGGGGTGGGGGGTGGGGGGGTAGTGGAGGCATAGCTAAGACTCAGCTGTGGGCTGCTGTTGTTTGAGCCTCCTTCCTCCTTGGGAAGCCAGAGGTGGCCGGGCGCTGCCCGCCCCCTCCATCTTTACAACTGGGCAGGCCAAGGCCAAGGTTCCTGAGTGACCACAGGTCCTATAAGTAGGTCATGACTGGGTGACAGAGAGACGGGGAGGGGAGGTGACACCGTATGACCCACTTTGCCACCCCAGAGGAAGTCCCTGCTCTCAGCCAGACCTCATGCGGACCTGGGGGGTGGGGCAGACCCCCCACCCCTTGTATTCATAGCCCGAATGGTCCGTGCCCGGCTGCTTCCCAGATGGGTGCCCTTCGTGGGCCTTGCCCAGGGCTCCCCACTCCTGGACGTGCTGACACCCCACCACACCACACCCCACACTCTGGCAGGTGCAGGACCCTCCTGGGGTTGGGGACTCACCATGATGGCGGGTGGCTCGAGGCGTGAAGACCCAGGCCAGGCTGATGGATGCCTGCAGGAAATGGTCGCAGCTTCTGCTCTGGGGGTGGGGGCTATAGGGACTGTAGGGAAGGGCTGAGGAGGAAGGAAAGGAGGTGGGGACGCCCCAACCTGTCCTCAGATCCGGCAGGCACTTCTGTCCCCGATTCCTGTCCGATTTCCGCGTGCTACACGGTAGTGCGTGCCCCGCAGGGTCCCCAACTTGGCTCTGCTGTTCACCTCTGTGGGGCAGGGCTGAGTCTAGATGAGGGAACAAGGCGTCCGGGGCAGGCGAGGGCCACCACTGGGCATGGGGCTCAGTGGCTGCCGAGGTGCCCCAGACCCTGGAAAGAGGTGGGGCACTGGGGGGAGGGGCACTGCTCCCCTTCTTGCCTCACTGGCCTTCCGCATTTCATCACCTCCCCCCTCCCCCGTCTTCTGCCAACCCAGCTCAGGGCCAGACTTCCCCGTCGAGTGGGGCAAGGGGAGGGGGCGTGGCATGTGGGGCAGGGGGAATCCTGGCACCTTGGAGTCACCTGAGGAATGGACAGAGAGAACCCCTCATGCATTCTGACACTGTTGGTTTGGGTGTGACCCCAGTTGCTACTTACTTTCGCCCCTGCCCCTCCCCCCATGTGCAGAGCAGGGCTGCCCCATTGGCCTTTTTGGTTACAAGCTTCAGAAATTCGGGTGGCCAGACCTTTCCTCCGCGGCACTGCTGGAGTGGGTTTCAAACCACTGCGTTTAGGTGAGTAGTTGCTATGCAGTGGATTCCGACTCCTGGCCACCCCAGGCGTGCAGAGCAACACTGTCCCCATGGGGCTTCCAAAGCTGTGGCTTTTTGGAACCAGGTCACCAGGCCCTTCGTCTGCGGTGTCTCTGAGCAAGTTTGAATTGCCCACCGATAGGCGAGAAGTCAGGTGCTTAACTGATTGCACCACCAGCTAGCGGCGGTCTGAGTGCATTGAGAAGCGTCAGAAACCTCGTCCGGATGCAGATTCCCACCCAGATATAAGCCCCGGGGTAGGGGATGGGGCGGCCGCTGCTCACAGACACCGCCCACCGCGAGGGGCGGGAACAGGAAAACACGCGGGGTATTTGAAGGAGCAGGGTGCAGAAGGGACGGGCCACTTCCGGGGTGTTGGCCCCCCGGGTGTCCAGCCCTGCGTGGGGTGGGGGGAGGCTGGTCGCAAGAGCACTGCACGGAGCGGGGTGAACGAGGGGATGCGGGAATAAAAGAAGGCATGATCCATAGTCCAGAGTAGGCCGGAGGCTTGCCAGCAAAGGGGCAGCTGGGGACCCCTGGCGCCTCCGGCGGCGACGGGTGCAGGCCCCGGCAAGGCCGCCAGGAGGCGCGCCCCCCACTCCCCGGCGCCTCCGCGGTGCCGTTGGGCCTGAGCGGCCTGCGAGCGGGCAGCACGGCCGCGGCTGCACCTGGGGCAACGGGGCGGCGAACCCGCCGAAGAGGGGACGGCAGGGCGCCTTGGGGAGCAGGGCTTCGCGGTGGCGCGGGGCCCCGAGCTCTGCGGGCCAGCCGGGGTCTGAGCCTGCGGAGGGTGGGGGCCGGGAAGCCCCCAACCACACACACGTGGGCCGCCTCGGAGTGAGGGCGATCCTGAGGTCGGGGAGACTAAACGAGGGGTTAGGGGGCCAGGCTGGGAACACGCGCCCCAGAGCTTCTACCTCCCTGCGGTCAGCGCAGGTGAGAGTATTCTAAGCGGGCGGGCTTCGGGCTAGAGGAGCTGCGCGAAGAGGTTTGCGGGCTCTGCCTGAAGTTTCCGGTCAACCTGCCACCACCCTGGCTCCCACCCCCCAGCGGGGCCACGTGTTAAAGGTGGGCGTGCTAGACACTCCCTGTCTCCGCCTACAGACTGTGGGCGGCTCCTGCTGGGTGGAGCCGGGCGCTCGAGTTGGGGGCTTCGCTGAAGGAAGCGGCAGCGGTTGGGTGGCTTCTCTGAGCAGTCAGGGCTGAGGTAGGATGTGGCTTTGGGTGTGGACAGTGGAGGCTTGGGGCCCAGTTCCAGCTTGTTCTAGAAGGTGGCTGGGAGCCGTCCCCTCCTCATGGGTGACAGGCTAGAGGAGGGACCTGGACCTAGGTTCTGGGTCTCTGGAAGGACCTCTCCAGATGGACCACGGCATGGCCTGGAGTTGGGTGTTGTTTGGCCCTGGTGGTGCGGCCTGGTAACATTGGATTGCTTCCTGTAAGGTTAATGGTTCAAATCCACCAGGTGCGCTGTGTGGGAGCAAAACGAGGCTGGCTGCTCCCGTGAAGATGTAGCACCTCAGAAACCCTAGTGAGGCGTTCCACTTGCGACGATGGGTCGGTGGTTCGAACCCACCTCTTCAGGGAAAGGAGCCAGGCAGGAGGCAGGTTCACTGTCTTGGAGTTGTGGAGTCAGGATCAACTCTACGGCACTAACATCATGTACCAGGGCTGGTGGCACAAATGGCTGGCCCTCAAACCTCCCCTGTGGCAGTGCCACAGGAGAGGCCTGGCAACCTGCTTCCATAAAGACAACAGCCCAGACAGGGAGGGCGGGGGCACACTCACAAATATATATGACTTTTGAGAAGAGAGTCAAATGGGTATTCACCTTTGCTGCAATACGTTCATCAATGTGCTGGAGGCTGCCTGGGGCAGTTATGAAAATGTCTTAGATGTAACCGAACATTTCGAGGGAATGCGTTACTCAGCCTGGGAGATCAGGACCAGAGCCTTGGGGGCCAAGGTGAACCGGCTGAACCGGCTAAACAGTTCACAGAGAATGTTCTACATCCTACTTCAGTGACTAACAATTAGGGTCTTAAAAGATTGTGAGCCCCCATCTCAGGTGCAACTATTGGTCTTTCCCTGCCCACCTGGAGGGAAGAAGCATGATGGAAGGAGAAACACACATGGAAATACCAGGGATACCCCAAGAAACTGGAACTTTCCCCCCCAAAAGCTATGCATGAAAAATTTCTTTTTTCTACAGAACAACCTGATCATCTTCAAAGTACTCTCCATGACACTTAATACATTGGTCAAATTTGCTATTCCACTCCTGGACACATTTTTCTGTTTTTCTTTAAATTTTTTTCTTTTTTGGACACATTTTTCAAACTCATCTGTTTGGATGGCTGACAGCACCTCCCTTGTTTTTTTCTTCACCTCATCAAATTGCTGTCCTCTCATGTCCCTTTTCATTTGCAGACACAGAAAGAAGTCGCATGGATCAAGGTGAGGTGTCAGGTGAGTGGGGCAAGAGAGGCATGCTGTTTTTTGCCCAAACCTAGCAGCACTGAGATGCCTGCGTGAGCAGGTGCATTGTCCTGGTGGCAAAACTAGTCCCCTGACAAATCAGGCCTTTTGTGTGGCACACTGTTAGGCAATCTTTCCAGAACCTCTAAATAAAAAGCTTGATTAACAGCCTGGCCTGGTGGAACGAACCCCAAATGCACTAGGAGTCGACATTTTTGTCCATTTGGGAAGTTGATGGACGTCCAGAATGAGGTTTGTCATCAACTGACATTTTTTTGAAACAAGAAAACCACTTGTACACTTCAGTTTTTCACATAGTGCTGTCCTTGTAAGTTGTGTTCAACATCCTAACAGTTTCTGAGGCATTCTTCCTGAGCAGGAAACTAAATTTCACAACCACACGCTGTTCTCTTAAATCGGCCTTCACACACAAAAAAACAGGTTTGAGGAAAAATTGCTTTGATGCAAAAATTTATTGTGACCAGAGAGAACCTTCCCAGGTGATGCCACTGGATGCACTAACTCAAAAGTGAGTTGCTTGATGCTTGCTTAGCAGGAAAAATGCATGCTAAGAAAGTACTACTCCACCCAGCGCAATTCTGGTGGTTATTTTGGGGAGGGGGTACCCCCACGTAGTTTGTCTAGGCAAACATGAGCCTCTACAATTCTGAGACCAAGAAGAACTAGATGGTGCCCAGCTACCAAGCCCGCCTGCTCTGAAAGGCACCCCATGAGAAAATCCTGGTAGTGAGGGAGAGAAGGCAAAACCACAAGAAAAACTAGACCGGTTGGTCAGATAGACCGATGGACCCTGAGACTCTTGGTCATCCTTCAGATGTGGAACAGAGCTCAACCCCGTGTTAGAATAATGAACTCTTTAAGATCAAAAAGGCAGCATCTGCCCAAAGTTCAGCAGAAAGGAGGGCCACTGGGAAAAGGAGACACCAGGAAGAAGGGAAATGATGGGACGCGCAGGGGACAGGGATGTACAGGGAATGGGAAACTGAGGATCTGCTCTGTAAACCTTCCCTTCATTTACAATAAAGTTAAAACAGCAACATTAAAAGATCACAGCCAAGAGAACCCTATGGAAGCCAGTTCTGCGGTTGCTCCGGGCGCTCCGTTAGTCCATGTCAACTTGACAGGGGCCTTGGCCCCTTGGAGCGGGTCTGGGACAGCTTATCACTTGGACTCACTGTTATGAAGTCAATTTTGACTCCTAGCCACCAGGTAGGACAGGAGACAACTGCCCCTCCGGCCCTCCGAGGCGGCTGCCAATCTTTATGGGAGCAGATAGGGTCGTTTTCCTCCTGCGAAGTGGCTGGTGGTTTTGAACTACAGATGCTGTGGCAGTCGGCCCAAAGGCTGTGCCACCAGGGCTCCCTTACAGAGAGGGAGAATTCAGGCTAGAGGCATATTTGGGGGTTTCCCACAAGCGGTGGCAGGGCAGTGCTGGCTCTGGGTAACATTGCACGCAGAATAGGGTACAGGCATCTAAGTCCTCCTGCCTGGGCTTTTGGGACTGTCAGCTGAAGCAGGTCAATCACTTGGTGGTGGTCTCCCAGACTCCCTCCCAGCTGACAGGTGGAGGTGGAGTCTTCCCCCAGCCCCAGAGATCCCTGATGTGCCCACAGCTGGAGCTGAGCAAGGATTGCCCTGGAGGGGACCTAGAGGTGCCACTGGTCTGACTGACTGGCTTCAACAGACTCCAAGGCCAAGGCTGAACCTCGGGGAAGGGGTGGGGAAGGCAGTGAGGGGGACAAGCAAGCTGTGGCATGGTCAGGGTCGGGGTTTAACTGGAGGGGCCATGCTGGCTGCAGACCCTGAGGATGAGGAGGTGAAGATGGGGTGAAGGCAGGCCTAGGGGAGGAGAAAGGCGATGGGCTGTGGAGGTTTTGGGATCTTTCTGAACCCAGGTGGCTATGGCCCAGGGTGATGTAGAGCAGGGGCAGGGGGAGTGTGGGCCCTAATGCAGAGGTCCAGGATGGGGACCTTGGAGAGCAGGGTTTTCACCGGGAGGAGGGTGTGGGCCGCCATGCACAGGGGAGGGCCCCATTTTGTCTTTGGCAGAAGCAAGCTGTGGTCCCAGACTGAGGAAGGAAGGCGGTGGGAAAGGGATGTGAGAGAGTGCCCTGTGCACAGGCCCAGGCCCAGGCCCGGCTGTCCTGACTCACTGAGGTTTCCGTAAAGGCTAGGCCCCCTGGACCCGGCTGGCCAACCTCATGCCTTCGAAGAGCTTGGGTTGGAGAAGGGAACTTCTAAGGGAGAGTGACGTCACGCAGGGCAGTGAAGAGGAAGGTGGGCTGAAGCCCCGGCCTCTGGTGACTGTACCACCCACTGACCACCAGAGTACTCCGGAGCATGGGCCTTGGACCTGGGTGGCAGACCTGACACTCTCTACGCCCAGCCTCCTAGCCTGTCCCAACTCCTGGGGCTGGTTTGCAAGTAAGACAGGAAACTCCTCTCCTGCCTGGTTTCTGGACGTGGTGGGTCTGGGCACGAGATGCTGGCCACCAGGCAGCACTGGACACAAGCCTGTCTCGACCTTGATGTGACTGGTAACTGGCGGTGGGAAGTAAGGGACGGTTCTATCTGTGCTCACAGCGCCCCTTCCTCCATCGCTGGCTGTGAGAGCCCAGGACCGCTAGTCAGGTTTGCTGGAACCAGAGGGGCAAGGGACCCGCACACTGGCCGGCTCATAGCGGTTCCTTTATTGTCCCTCCGGTTACAAAACTACCCAAGGCCTCTCTTCCCCCAGTGCGGCCCGGCTCAGAGAGGCAAGAAAACCGGACTGTCACCCTCAGACGACCGTGGCGGCGACACTTTGGGTGCAAACAGGGCCGGCTCTGGGGCAAGAAGAGGAGGGGGCTCCTGAGCCTCCACTAGTGGCCCCGCGCCCGCGCCCTCCCCGTGCGCGCGGTCCCAGGCCTTACCCGCCGGCCCGCCGGGACGGGGCGGCCCGGGCGCGGGGGCTGCGGGGCGGTGGTCCTCCAGGTGCAGCGTCATGGCGGGCCGCGAGGCCGTGGAGAAGGCGCACTGCATGCAAGAGTAGCGGCCCCGCGTGTGCTCCCACACAATGCGGCTTGGGGCCGCGTGCCCTGCGGGCCGGCGCGCTGTCAGTCTGGAGTCGCCGCCCGG